CTAGCAGTACGATTCTAAGAACATCACAGCTACTGCGCAGCACACTTTCCTCATCCTAATATATAAAAAGCCAGGGGCTCGTAATGATCCTAATATATGAAAAGCCAGGGGCTCGTAATGACCAAAACGACTGAACGGACGACCGAACAGCAGGCTAGGGAACTGAGGGAGCGGGATGAACGGTCACCATGAGGGGACTCCCACTTGGATCGGAGGCATGGCCGGCCTTCAATTCATGGGTGGACCCTAGCCTAGGCTGGCCAGTGCCCCAGAGGAGACCCCTGCCATGACAGGGGGCATGGCTGGCCTTCAAACTGCTGGTGGCCCCTAGCCTGGGAGGCCTCTTAGCCGAGGACTCCTGAGTCTGTTCTGGACCTAGGGCCATGCTCTCCCTGCAAGCGACTTGGAAGCTGCCAGTCTCCAGGAGGTGGAGTGCATACACCGTCCACCAAAAAGCAGGACCATCTAAACTAACCACTCACAGTCTCAGTGCAGGCACGTGTCCGTGGCTGACGGGGTGGAGGCCAGACCAAAACAAAACAAAAGAGACACCCTGCCCCCCTCGGTGGGTGCAGCTGCAGTCCATGTGGCCTGGGCAGTGTAGAAAGTGATGTACCTTCTCCTGGCTCCTGTGCTGGCACTGCCGCCTTGCTCACCCTCAAGCCCCCCTGAGTCCCGACAGCGAACTGTGTAGAGCAGCCAGCAGGAGTTGTGCCAATCTGGGTGCTTTTGCCCAAAGACATCCTTTGGGATGAATTCAGAGCCACATCTCACTTTCCATGAGACTGGAAGGACCATGTAAAAGGATCTCAACAAAAGCTTTCAACATCTCTGTTTACTCATTTGAATCCATAAAACGACCTTAAAAAAAGCATTCTGCTGCTAAGAGAGAATGCACTTTCTGGCCAGAGCACGCAGGATTGTTTTGCCTAACAGGTTAAAGGAAGCAGAGAGCTGGCACAGTGGAAATGGCCCTGGTGCCCTATGAGGAGACCACGGGAATGGGGTTGCAAAAATTCCACAAGCCTCTTGCCACCTTCTCCTTTGCGAACCACACCACCCAGATCCGCCAGGACTGGAGGCAACTGGGAGTTGCAGCTGTGGTTTGGGACACTGTAAACAAATTCTGGGGACCTCTGAAAACATCTGCAATTGATTATAAGACTGGCCTTTATTTAAAAAGACAAAAAAGAACAGCTTTGTTGAGATATAATTCATATACTGTACATGTCACCTAAAGTGTACAATGAACTGTTTTTTTAAAGTAAATTCAGAGGGGTACAACCAACACCATACTCAATTTTTAAATATTTTCATGACTCCATCCCCTCCAAAAACCTCTACCCACTAGAATCACTTTCCTGATCATCTTCCCCAAAATAGATTGCATTTTAAGAGTGGATAAAGGAAAGTTGAGGGAAGTTAAAATACTGCACAAAGGATACTGTAAAATGACAAAGCACAGAGTGAATATCCCAGAGTGTTTTCTTTAAAAAAATTTTTTAAAAATTGATTTCAGAGAGAAAGGGAGAGGGAATAGAAACATCAATAAGAATCACTGATCAGCTGTCTTCTGCAGGCCCCTTACTGAGGTTTGAGCCCGCAACCCAGGCATGTGCCCTTGACCAGAATCAAACCTGGGATTGGTCAGTCCACAGGCCAATGCTCTCTCCATTAAGCCAAACTGGCCTTTTCTTTAAGTTCTGTGTGGTTCTAATGGTCCCCAATCTATACTAATAAAAGGATAATATGCTAATTTGAGTGAAGGTCTTCCGGACATCCTTCCAGACAAAACTGCAGCAGCTGCGAGGCCCGAGGCTCAGGCAGTGTTGGGTGGCTGCAAAAGGCTGAGGCTCAGGCTGGCAGTGACAGCAGCAACGGGATAATGGGGACAATGCCTTCCCCTGACCCACCAGGTCATCTCCCAAAGAGGAAAGCCAGACTGGGGGCCAAGGCAGAGGCAGTTAGGGGTGATCAGGCCAGCAGGGTGGCAAGGTAGGGGTGATCAGGCAGGCAGGCAGAGGAGTTAGGGGCAATCAGGCAGGCAGGCAGGTGAATGGTTAGGAGCCAACAGTTCCAGATTGTGAGAGGGATATCGACTGGTGGTTTTGGCCTGATCCCAGTTGGACATTCCCCAAGGGGTCCCAGATTGGAGAGGGTGCAGGCTGCGTTCAAGAATGCCCCCTCTGTGCATGAATTTCATGCGCTGTGCCTCTAGTTTAAAAATAAGAAGTCAGGGATTGTTTTGTTCACTGCTATGTCTCCAGCACAGCACAGTGACTTTACACACCTTTGATGTAAAACATTGACTCATTAAAGCTACTTATTGCTTATTGACATATCTACTTTACAGAGTTGTGGTGATGAAATGAGATAAAAATTGTGAAAGTACCTAAGTGAGCTCTTAACAAAGATATTATTACAAGGCTGTTTTGTGACAGGCACTATGCCATACAAAGCACATGTGATGGACCACAGAGCAAGTCTTCGTAAACATCGCAAAGCTCAGAGTAGGTGTCAATAGACATTGAATCTCAATTGTTACTACACTGCACAGTTCACAAAAACACTTTCATGAACATTATCTTGTTTGAAACAACAGACACTATAAGTTTAACAAGAATAACCCAAGGTCTTAGGCATTCATCAGAGGAAGGGATGATCTGTTGGGATGAATAGGCATGACTTCATGGAAAAGACAGACTTTGAGATGAGTTTCAAAATATGGGTGGATTTTGACAAGAGTGAAAGATGGAGGGGAGTTTCATAAAATAGAGAAATATATAAACAAAAGCCTGTCCTCAGTAATTCCATATTGCTTTTTTATTTGTGTTAATAAATCTCCTCTGAAATGCTGTATCATGAGTATTGATATCTATAAACTTTAGAATCACCCATTACCTGCCTTAGAAAATCTGTGGAAAAATTTCTCCATCTTTAATTTTCATGCACCTGTTTCATGAATTCCGATGATTGGTAGTTACAGGACAACATTATTCACAAACACTTATTGAACCTGGTAGTAAGGGGGCTAAGATGAAGTGTATATGCAAACAAGTGTTCTACAAAGTAGAACGCAGGAAGTGCCATAACTGAGCTGTGGCTGAACAGGGGGGCCAAGAGGAAAGGGAACATCTACCCCCCCCCTCCCCGTATTCTTCCTGTTATTAATTCATCTGACTTTGAAGATTTAGACCTATACAAAAGCAACCGTTCTTTTACAATTTCCTCCTTCACATTACTTGTCTGGGTTTGTGTCCTTTTCAACTTGAACTCTTTCTCTGTCCTAAGCTCTAAGGGTCCTGATGAGACTCTAGACTCTTACCCAGGGGAACAATGGTCAGAGGCAGCTCTCCAGAGCTTACCCCCTGATTCCCAGATTTTATTTCCTGGCACCCTTCCTTTGCCTCACTATCTCAAGCTTTAATAAACTTACACTCATTAAAACAACAACAACAACAACAATAACAAGACAACCTTAGGAGGAAGGCCCAGGAAGTTATCAGTCATTGTTTGTGACGCACTGGGCGGTTGTGCCTTGTGCGTGTTTTCCTAACCCTCAGAATGGCCCTGAAGGATGGAACATCTTATCTGTGAAACTCTGATCCTAACAGAATGATTTATCCAAGGACTCAGAGCTCAAAAGTGGTAGACCTTGGATTTAAACATTGCTAATGTTTGACCTCAAAGCCACTATAACGTATTAACCATGATTAAGTGTATTTTAAAATTCATCTTTCTGGTTTTTGTAAAAGACTTTTTAAAAATATCTCAGTTCATCAAAGTTTCTTTAAGTCTCATGGATTTCAAGCACTCAAGGAGCATTTGTTAATCAGGACTAGGATTATTACCCGTCTTCTCTATTTCCCTCAATTTATTCATTAGTGTGATCATAAATTTATAGGCACAATTACTCCTCTGGGTACCATGCCTATAGCCATTTTGAAGTTTCCTATTGTTCTAGTTTGCCAATGCCCAGAACGTCCTTTTACCCAAACTTGAACTCCAAGATGACAGAATCTACCACGTTGTTTTATTTATTTTTAAAAAACATATTGTTATTGATTTCAGAAAGGAAGAAGGAGAGAGAAGAACCAAGGAAGAGAGAAAATCATTGATCGGCTGCCTCCTGCACACTCCCTCCTGGGGATCAAGCCCGCAACCCCAGGCATGTGCCCTTGATCAGAATCAAACCTGGGACCCTCAGTCCACAGGCTTCCGTTCTATCCACTGAGCCAAACCGGCTAGGGCCCCACGCTGGCGGGAGAAGAAGGAAGTGCGGGACAGAAGAAAGTGGGTTAAGTAAAGGGGCGGAGGGGGTTTGTGTTTTACTACATCTTCCCGTCAGATGATCAGCTATCTGTGTTTTTGCGTGGCAACACTAGACGCTTAACGGAAGAACAGGGCGGTGGTGGGAAGAACTTGTGAGCATAGATGCATGACCCGGGGACACAGACCCTGGCGTGGGGACGGCCTGGGGCCGGGCCGGCTGGAGGAGGTCAGCAGAGGAAAAGGGGACATCTGTATTACTTTCAACAATGAAAATTAGCTCTAACCGGTTTGGCTCAGTGGATAGAGCATTGCCCTGCGGACTCCAGGTACCAGGTTCGATTCCGGTCAAGGGCATGTACCTTGGTTGTGGGCACATCCCCAGTAGGGGGTGTGCAGGAGGCAGCTGATCGATGTTTCTAACTCTCTATCCCTCAAATCAATAAAATATATTAAAAGTAACAATGAAGATTAAAAAAAAAAGACCCGCTCAGTGTGTTAACAAGCACACACCCCAAACGCCCTGTGCCTAGCCCCGCCCTCCCAGGGAGACGTGGGCGGGGCGGGCTCGCGGACGGTTTAAAGGGCACCGGAAGGCGCGGGCCGCCGTCCGCGCTCCTCCACGGCCCCAGCCCGATCGGCCCGCACCGGCCCGGCGTGCCGCCGCGCTCGGACCCTCTCGCGGCCCTGGGCGCGCCCGCGTCGCACCCGGAGTTACCGGCCCGCCGGCGATGGCGGCCGCGGGGGGCGCCGGGCTCCTGCGCGCCTCCTCCGCGGCCCTGGGCGGCGCGGCCCGCCGGTGGCTGCTGGGCGGCGCGGCTCGCGTGGGAGCGGGCGGCCTCCCGGGGAGCCGGCCGCTCAGCCTGTCGGCCGCGGCGCGCTGCAGGTGAGCGCGGGCCGGCGCGCGGGGCCCGGTCCCTTTCCCGGGGCGTCCCGGCCCGTCTGCGGGCCCCGCTTCCTTCCCCGGCGCCGGGGCCCGGGGCCCGGTGCCTGCTCCGCACCGCCCGCTTCCGCCTGTGCCCCGCGGCCCCGACTTAGCGCACTTTCCTTTCCGACCCCCTGGCGGGAGACGGGCCCCGGAGCCCGGTTCCCCCGGTTCCCTGCCCGGGCCCCCGTTCCCCCCGGTTCCCTGCCCGGACCCCGTTTCCCCGGTTCCCTGCCCGGGCCCCCGGTTCCCCCGGTTCCCTGCCCGGGCCCCCGGTTCCCCCGGTTCCCTGCCCGGGCCCCCGGTTCCCCCGGTTCCCTGCCCGGGCCCCCGGTTCCCCCGGTTCCCGGCCCGGGCCCGGCCGGCGGGACCTAACCTTTGCTCCGCCCGGAGCCGCGGTGACCTTCGGAGTCGCGCCCGCGGGGAGCCGTGCCTGCGGGTTGTGACGGCCTTTCCTGCGGCCCAGGACGGGCTGCCCCCAGAGCCTCCCGGCATGTCCCCCGGATTGTCCGTTTGGGGGAACGGCCCCTCCGTGCCGGGCTCCCCCCGCCCCCCTTTTAGTTGACTCGGCGCCCAGGCCCTGCGTGCCGTGGCGGTTCGGGTTTGGCAGCGGCTCTGGCCCTCGCCGTCCGCTTCCGCCACCTCCCAGCTGTCAGCGGAGGACAGCGGCGCGGGTCACACAGGGTCACTGGGGAGGACAGGAGAGAAGGCAGGGAACGCTGGTCGACTTCTGGCTCAGATGTTCCCTGGAGCAGCAGCAGTAGCTCAGGCCTAATGTGTGTACGTGTATTTATTTATTTTAGAGTTTAAAGTGAAGAAAAAGTTTATTAGTGAAGCAGTGAGAGAGTATGGTTACTCCACAGGCAGGGCAGCCAGAGTGTTGTTGTGTAGTATATGTTGAAAGGGATGTGAAAAAAATTTCCCCCAAATACATTGATATTTTGTATTCTTGGGCATATTTGCTTTTCAAAGACACGATCTCCTTAGATAATTAGAGCTAAGATGGTATTCATTTCAGCCTACAGGGATGTGATGGGACCCTTTGTAATTCAGAATGCTCTCTGCCCCTGCTGGCATGTAGCGGGAAGTTAACCTGGAGGGAGGGAGAAACTGTTGGGTTTGTATTCTGCCTTTTGTCTTCCTGATGAGGTACCTGAGAATAGGGTGTAGGACTTACTCACCTTTTCTCCTTAATCTTACTCCATAGTTGGTGCTCAAGAAATTTGTTTCATTAACTGTGAGGAGAATAAGAGAGAAGGCGAGCCGGATTCATTTGCCCCTATTTCCCCTGCGCTTCCCTGCTTTTGACCTCCCTCCAAGCAGATGCCTTGTTTTCTACAATGGATGCTTTCTTGATCATAGTTGTGTAATTAGTATTTAAAGGAACCTAAATGCCTTTGTAAATAGGAATTATCTCCTCCGACCTTAATGTTTGGATTTGGGTATTATAAAGTTGTCTTAAAGGGATACACATTTAGTCTGTTCCCTCAGAGGCCTGCTTTTCTATTGAGGCCTTGTGGCCTTGTGCTTCCTATCACAGACTTTGGAGCTACAACTAATGTTACTTGAGAGTTGATCACCACTAACCACATGTGGTTGTTTGTTTATTTTTTTAAAATATATTTTATTGATTTTTTACAGAGAGGAAGAGAGAGGGACAGAGAATTAGAAACATCGATGAGAGAGAAACATTGATCAGCTGCCTCTTGCACACCCCCTACTGGGAATGTGCCCACAATCAAGGTACATGCCCTTGACCGGAATCAACCTGGGACCTTTCCGTCCGCAGGCCAACTCTCTATCCACTGAGCCAAACAGGTTTCGGCCACCTGTGGCTGTTTAAAATAAACTTAAATAAAATTAAAGAATCAGTTTCTCAGTTGAACTTTAAAAAAAATGTTTTTCTTTTAAAAGTTGATTTTAGAGAGAGAGGAAAGGAGAGGGAGAGAGAGACATCAAAGGGCTGTCTCCTGCATGCCCCCTACTGGGGATGGAGCCTGAAACCACTTAATATGCCTTGACTGGGTATGGAACATCCCCTTTGGGTGCATGGGATGACGCCCAACCAACTGAGCCACGCCTGCCATGGTCCCAGTGGACTTTTTAAGTCCTCAGTGGCTAGTAGCTGCTGAATAGAACATCACAGGTGTAGAACATACGAAGGCCAACTGGACAGAGCAGTCTAGAAGTTGTCCTTCTGACTTGGAAGTTGAACACTTAGATAAGCTATTAGTAATTGAGAGTTGAAAAACTCCTTTAACTCCAAAATACCCTGACACAGTACTTTATATTTTGTAAGTGATTTAAGTTGCAAAGAGCTTTCTATATATGATTTCACTTGACTCTTAAGAAAATTTTGGAAGGTAGATAAATGAAAAGAAAAACTCCATAGCAAGCTGCTGGCAGAGCTAGGACTAAAATTCATATAGTTTCTGTTTTTTTTTGAGCACCGTAGTAGTTGGTAATTCTTTAGCCCATGGGGTCATTTGGAAGAGTTAAGATGGCTAAGATAGTAGGGAGCCCGAGATGGGTGCCCCTATTCTTGGACCAACGGTCCCAGGCTACTCTGTGTGATGAAGGAGTGGGTGTCAGCAGCGTACCTCCCCTGCCAACTGTCCGGTTGAGGAGAATAAATGGCAGCGAGTAAAGGGTACCAAGTGAAGAACATAGTGTTTTTTTTTTTTTTTTTTTTTTTTTTTTTTTTGTGGTGTTGGCTGATTAATTGATGAAAGAAAATTTGGGAAGATCATAATTATTTCCCAGGGTATGAAATCTTCCTTTTTGGAAAGAGCTAAAAGCTTCTTGCTAGTTCAGTGAATTAAGGGAGAAATCCACAAAACCCACCAACACCAATTATTAATAGTGAATGGTTAGAGTTACTTGGGTATAACATAGTGCTTTAAGGAAAGAGTTTCCATAAACTTTCTCTCCTTTTTTCTCTCAGCAGCTTGGGGAAGTCACTGTGGCTTCCTATGGTCATTTAGTATATGTCAGAACCAGGGCTGGAATCTACGTCTGATTCTTACATGTCATACTTTTCAACTATAAAATTACTTTTCTGCTCCCTCTCCTCTCCTTTGGTAAACCTATTAACACTCTTACTTTGCAGTTTTTGTGTGAAGATACACATACATAGTGGCAGTTCAGGCTTCTTGGCAACAAAAGGACTGAGACTTTAAAAGTTACTAATCAGTGTTTGTTGAGCTCTACTCTGTGTTATGTATTTTGTATTCATTATTAACCCATTTTTATAGAGGAGTCTGATGTAAAAGAGTTCAAATTCCTTTGCTGTAACTTACCTCTAGAGTGCTCTAGAAGAACAGCAGCCCTACAACCTTTGGCCTGCAGTAGTGAGTACAAATGATGGAATTCTCTCTGTTGTACTTTTACGAGGCCTCTGTGGATGTCGGATCTCTAGACTGTGCTGCTGGGCTCAGATCCATCTGGCTTCTGGACATTCTCATCCATTTTTTTTTCTATTATTAAATTAAACAGGTCTAATCTCAAACTCATTTCCATCTTCCCCAAAGCTCCATCTCTCATCTGTTAACCCTACTTTAAACTGTACCCCCTAATTGCCCGAGGAAACTTCAACATTATTTCTTTCCTCCTCAGTCCATCTTATATTGCTGCTAACAGAACCTTTTAATTCTACCTCCTGAATATCTAAGACAATGTCTTCTATTATATGTCTTTGCTTAGTTTGTGCTCTTTTAATAATTTACAAAGTGGTTTCCCTGCCTCCAGAGTATCTTCATTCTCTCACTGTACTTGGAAAATCAAGAATAATATTCAGAATATTTATTTTTAAAGCATTTCTTTTCTATGAAAAAAATAGTTGGAGTACTCAAGCACTTTTGAGGGACTTTCACATATCTAAAAGGGTAATGTGCTAATTAGGGCGGAAGTCTTCCAGACATCCATCTGGACAAAGCCACAGTGGCTGCGAGGCCTGGAGCTCAGGCAGCCATGAGCCCTGGCAGCTGGCAGTGGCAGCAGCAGCAGAGTGATAGGGCACAACGCCTTCCCCTTTTCAGCCCGGTCGCCTCCCACAAAGGGAGGCCAGACTTCAGCTTAGGCCCCTCTTTTTGGGGAGTGTGCCTAAGCCATCAGTAGGACATCCCCTGAGGACTCCTACACTGAGAGGGCGGAGGCCAGGCTGAGGGCCCCCCCTGCAGTGCACGAATTTTTGTGCACTGGTCCTCTAGTCAGCCTGTCTGTCTGTCTGTCTATATCTATCTATCTATCTATCTATCTATCTATCTATCATCTATCTATCTATCTATCTATCTATCTATCTATCTATCTATCTATCTATCTATCTATCTATCTCAAAGCCTAAACAGCCAGCTGACAGGCTGGTAGCTAAGACACATACTGACCATCAGGGGGAGGACACTTAACACAGAGTGGAAACCACAGACATGGAACAGGCTGATTAATCTCAGAGGGAAGTGGGGAAGAGATAAACCAAAGATTTTATATGCATACTAAGGGCACAGTGCATGGATTCCTGCACTGGTGGGGTCCTTTGGCCTGGTTTTCAGGGATTGGGCTGGAACTGGCTCTCCGACATCCTGTGAGGGGTCCTGGATTGCGAGAGGCCAAGGGACCCACTGGTGCACGGCCTCTAGTATTTTATATAATTTTTAATTAATGGAATTCTCTTTTTTCAGTGTTGGCATATTAGGGAGGCCATTATCTGATAGGGACTTAAGTTGCCTCATTTGTGAGGATTTGATAAATTGGAAGATGTTTATAACTCTGGAATTATTTATTTCCAAGTTTTACTTGTATTAAAGTTTTCTTTGATATGGATTATTACCATCTTCTGGCTGTAGTGAAAATTGCAACTAATTATTTTAAGCTGGAGTACATCTTTTCAATTGTGAAGTAAAAATTATAATGACCAATGGTGGAGAATAAGGATCTAGTTACTTATATAATTTCTTTTCCCAAATTTTGTATTGACATCTGTGAGAAGGGAAAGAAATTCAAGTCTGGTTGATAGATAATATAATATCTATACTAATAAAAGGGTAATATGCTAATTAGACCATGAGACCTTCTGGATGTCCTTCCAGACAAAGCCATGGTGGTGGGGCTGAGACAGAGGCGGTTAGGGATGATCAGGCCAGCAGGAGGGGCAGTTGGGGGTGAGCAGGCCATTGGGGGCAGGGGAGGCAATTGGGGGGCCATCAGGCTGGCAAGGGGGTATAGTTGGGGGTGAGAAGGCCAGTGGGGGCGGGTTTAGTTGGGGGCTTGGAGGCAGAATGGTTAGCGGCGATCAAGCAAGCAGGCAGGTGAGCGGTTTGGAGCCAGAGGTCCCTGATGTGAGAGGGATGTCTGACTGCCAGTTTAGGCCTGATCCCATGGGGCAGTCAGACATCCCCGAGGGGTCCCAGATTGGAGAGGGTGCAGGCTGGGCTGAGGGACCTCCCCACCCCTCCCGCATCCCCGCACGAATTTCGTGCACTTGGCCACTAATCCTATAATAAAGAACATAAGAGGGTATATTTATCTTCCCACAGATTCAAACAAACAAACAAACAAACAAACAAATATATTTTCTAGTCCCTTTGATTTTTGAGCTCACAATGTAGACCAAAGTAAGATGTTTAAATACTCAGAAAACTATCAGACTGCTGCCTTTCAGCGCAGTACCTGCCAGACACATGCATAACTGCCTATTGATGGCAGGGTGCGCTGCTTTTCCAGAGCTCACCATAACCGCGGTCTAGTCTTTAGGGGCACATTCATGGAGATTGTTTTTCAGAGAGCTGTGTGAGAGCAAAATAGACTTCCATGATGATGATTGCTAAATGTTTTCACATGACAGTGACCCATGACCATGACCACTCAGGAGACACACTGCATAGGGGAGTACATGGCCTAGTTTTCATTTCCTTTCAGGCAGTAGAGCTCTCCTAGTAGGTGGGCCTTTTGGTATTTATGGCATTTTGGTATTTATGGCATGCCTTTTTGGTATTTATGGCATTTTCTTCCCAAATGAACTTTGGAAAGAAAATAAAATACTGTAAAAGCACATTTGCTTGCATGTGCGTACACACACACACACACACACACACACACTCACACCACTATTTCTTTTGACCTTACAAGTTTTTTTTTAAAAAAAATTTGACCTTACCAATTCTTAAAAGTTATTTTAAAATATTTTTTGAAAATAATTAATACAGGACTGCTTCCTTTTCCAGCTCAGAAGATAAAATAACAGTCCACTTTTTAAACCGTGACGGTGAAATATTAACAACCAAAGGAAAAATCGGTGACTCTCTGCTAGATGTTGTGATTGAAAATAATCTAGATATTGATGGTTTTGGTGAGTATGAAAGAGTCCTTAAAATTTATAAGTGAAATTATTGAATAGGTTTCAACACTGTTCTTCTGAAAAATTTTAACCTATACCATATGGAGTAAAATATTAAAATTCAGAATGTATTAGTGTTATATTCTCACTTTGAAAGAATAAGAATAAACACTGTATTTCTATTCTTTGTACATTTGATTAGCTTTGTACCTCAATGTCTGTCACCTCATTACCTTATTGTTTACCTGTGTTAATGCAAATCCAGGAAATAGCTAGTGGAGTTGAAAAGTAATTGGTTAGAGATAATAAATGTCATATTACAAGAGGGAATGAAATAGTTTTAACTTATTCTCGAGTGTTAGCTTACCCTTCCAGGAAGGGTGATTTATCTACCTCTTATCAGGGGAGAAATGGTTTTTATGGAGAATGTTTTCATTTCTAGAGTCTAGATTTCTGACCATAGTCCTTAAGCACTCACATGAGCCACGCCCCAGATGCTGCCAGGGAAAGCTATTAGCACTTGTCAGTTCTGCTCAAGCACTCTAGTGATGGTTCTGGAAGAGGGTTCTCTTGATTATCAGCATCAGGTCATTTGGGAACTGCAGATTCTCAGGCCCCACTCTGGATCTTCTGGGGTAGGGCCCTCTGTGCTTTACCAAGTCCTCCATGTCACTTTGATGGGTGTTAAAGTTTGTGGACCATTGGCCTGAAATAAGGTCCATCGAGCACATCTGACTATGCTTCAGTCAGGGCACAGTTCACATCGCACTTCTGAGAATCATTTGTACATCAGAGTTATTTCTCTTCTGTGAAACCACCTCCCTGTGAAGGGTCATCACAGCTTCCTCTTTAGAGAGAATGCCCCTTCCTATTGGGCTGTGAGCTCTTGGGAGACTGTCCTCACTCAGGTGACTGCACAGTGTGCTTTGTCCAGAGGTGCATGGTGTTTATGCTGCATTTTTAAATCAGACATTTGTTTAGTCAGTTTCAGGATTAATTAGAACAACTACCAGTTGAGCACATACTACATTCCAGCACGTGCCATTTATGATTGTAACAACTCTAAGAAGTAGATTAAAATAAAAACTTTCACTTTATAGATGAAGAAACTAAGGTTCAGAGAAGTTAACATTCCCTGGATTGCACAAGTGAGAGGGCTAAGATTCAAGCCGAAGTCTCTAATTCTTTATGCCTTTTTCCTCTAAGAACCGTCTTTTCTGTATGAACTGTTTTAGAAATTAGGTGATGAAATAGTTAATATTAAAAGTATTAGGTGATGAAATAGTTAATATTAAAAGTTAATAATAAAAGTAGCACTTTTAAGGAGCTTTTAGTCTAATGAAGTGGTTCTTGTCTGGGATGGAGTTAGAATCTACACAACTTTTAAAAGTGCAGACATTATTTGTGTCCCACCCTGGATAGTACAGGTAGAGAAGAGTTTTGCAGGTATGTATTTTTAAAAAATATATATATTTACTGATTTCAGAGAGGAAGGAGAGGAAGAGGGAGAATCATTGATCAAATGCCTCTTATATGCTCCCTAGTGGGAATTGAGCCCACAACCCAGGCATGTGCCCTGACTAGGAATCAAACCGTGACCTCCTGGTTCATAGTTCAATGCTTAATCACTGAGCAACACCGGCCGGGCCTTGCAGATACTTTTCTAAAATGCTCTACATCAGTGGTCGGCAACCTGTGGCTCTTTGGCCCCTTGAATTTTTAGCAAAGGCCAGCTTAGAAGTACCATACTTAAGTTAATAACAATGTACCTACCTATCTAGTTTAAGTTAAAAAATTTGGCTCTCAAATTTCAATCATTGTACTGTTGATATTTGGCTCTGTTGACTAATGAGTTTGCCGACCACTGCTTTACATGATTCAGATACATAGCATGGGTACCAATGACTTATGTAGATAAAGACCTCGGTGATAATTTATGTATAGTATGAGTTCTATAAAATTTATTTATAATTGATTTCCATTGTATGTGTTCATATTTAGCTACACTTTTAACTAAACTTAGTTTCTCTGAATTGTTTTTTCACCAATGACAAGTAGTACATAGCATAGCAATGGAGAATAGACTGGAATCAGGTAGATTATGGTTCATAATCCTCAAGGCTATAGTAGCTGTAAAAAAGCAAATGCTTAAAATAAAACCTAGCTATTATTTATTACATAGCTATTATTAATAACACAGGTTCACTTTTCATTAGATTATGGTTAGATTATGGTTCATACACAAACGTTTTCCTTTACAAGCTATGAGACCTGGAGCAAGCCATCTTAATATCTTTATGTCTCAGTTTCCTCTTCTGTAAAATAAGATTCTAATAGTTCTAACTTCATGGGATATTGGAAGTAGAGTGCTTAGCACAGTGCTTACTGAGTAAGAATGGTAGGATTTGTGGCGTTTTAACTTGGCCTGTACAGTCGTTAGTAGTTTGATGAGGATTTCCCTGCATTCCCTTATGCAGACTTAGCAGAGAAACTTTAAAGATCAAGGGTCCTAACAAGTCCAGAATTTTTCATGTAACTATAAACTTGAGACAAGCTAATCTAGGCTCACAAAAGATAAGATTTAAGCCTAAGTCATTTTCTTGAATAAAGATGAAAAGAAGAGATCAAGAAGTCTGAAATGCTATTCTTATAAAGAAGAGGTTATTGTAACCACAGGGGCAGCTATCATTAATTCCTCAAGGCAAATACAGGAGACCCTTTAAATATTGCCCTGTCAAAGTCATAGCTCAGATGAACACCATACCAAAGGAGGCTGACCAATTACAAAGTCTCCATGGTTTCTCCCTGAGTGATCTTTTCCTTTTGTGACCTGAAATCCCATATAGATACCCATAAGCTTAAGTTTACCTTGTTGGCTCAGACATCGGCTCTGAGCCTTGGGCTACAGATCCAACTTCCTCTTTTACATCTCTTCTTGAAAGTTGCACAGATATTTTAAAGTCAGTATTTAAACAGGTTTTGATTACTCCCAACTGAAACCTGCCCTTCCACAGTCAGTAATGAGCATCTCTCAGCTGCTGAAACCTGAAAACAGCATTTTTTATTCTTCCTTCTGCCCCATCACCTACCTCCAGTCCCACTGGAGCTCCTGTCAGTTGTGCCTACAAAGCATGTTTCCTATTTACTTATTCAGAAACAGGAGACTTCTTTAAAAATATATTTTTATTGATTTCAGAGAGGAAGGGAGAGGTTGCCTCCCACACACACCCCTACTGGGGCTGGGGATGGAGCTTGCAACCAAGATACATGGTCTTGAGAGAATCGAACCCAGAACCCTTTATCCCCAGGCCAATGCTCTCACCACCGAGAAAACTGACTAGGGCTAGCCTCACTTTATGTTTCTTTCATAGTGAGGCGTTGTCCCACTGCCCGATTCTAAGCAGGGTTTTTCTTCTTAGCCTGAACCCATTTTTCTCCATTACAGCATCCTGTTCATTTCTTACATAGCATTTATCACAATCTATTGGTTATATATTTCTTTACGTGTGCATCTTTCTCCCAAGGGACTGCAATGAAGGATAAATAATTCCTGTTTTATCCCTTATTGGATATGAAGTGAAATAACGAATGGATAAGTGAGTAAAAAGGAACAGTTAGAAATTTTGGAAGCAACAAATTGATAAGCATTCTTATTTCCAACTTTATGAGCTGTTTTCAAAGTGTATTATAATATTCTGTCACTAGGGGGCAGTTATAGCTCTCTGAACAAATTTACCTAGTTTATTATCTCAGACCATTTTTTTCCTTTACATTATCTATATCCTTTATATGTCTGTTTTGAGAAAAATTATTCAAATTGGGAAATCTTGATAATGTTTATATAAATCTATATTTGTTACCATCATGTTTATTGACTTCCTATTGTATAATGTATTTCTGGCTATGCTAGATCAAACTTTGTTTATTCTCACTTGAGGATATGTTTTTATTGATTTTGTTTTGTTTTTAAATCCTCACCAGAAGATATGCTTATTTATTTATTTATTTATTTGTTTATTTATTTTTATCCTTATTGATTTTAGAGAAAGGGGGAGAGAAAGAGAGAAACATTAATGTGGAAAGAGAACATAGATTTCATATGTGCCCTGACCAGGGATTGAACCTGCAACCTTTCAGTACACAGGATGACGTTCCACCCAACTGAGCCACACCGGCTAAAGGCTGACAGCCACCAGTACTGCTCTGGGACTATGTTTAAGTGTAAATCCATAACTTTTGTGGCACTTGCAGTCCCCATCTCTCCACGTGCCATTATATCAGTGCACTCCTATCCTGGCAGCTATCAGTTTTAGACTGAAGACTCTGTAGTGGTTGTTACTTTGGTATCCTTTTTCCTCTTATATGTTGTCTCCCATTGCTTGTTTTGTAGAGTTTTTTTCCTCCCTGTGTTTGTGATAAGAATAAAAACAATAGATATTCCCCAATTTATAAACAGATTTTATTCTCCAAGTCCATATTCAGGTCAACTAACTAGTATTTGGAATTTGTTTTTCCTATTGGAAAACATTTTTAGGCCAACCCTAAAGAATCTATTTTTTCATAACTACTTAATCACCATTTACAGTTTGGTTTCTATGAGAAAATGCATTGCAACTTATAATGTCAGGTCAAGAACACCTGAACTTCCTGGGCATACTCACTACACACACACACACACACACACACACACACACACACACACCCACTCTCTCTACCCCTACCTCTACCTTTACCTCTACCCCTACCTCTACCTCTACCCCTACCTCTACCTCTACCCCTACCTCTACCTCTACCTCTACCTCTACCTCTACCTCCTACGGTTAACTCTACCTTCCTCTTCCCCTTCTCCTTCCCCATCCCCTCTTTTTCCCTCCTTCACTCCATACTACACATACCCCCATACTATAGGGACTCTTGTTCATTCTGCACCTTATTCTGGTAGTGGGAATATATGTATCACTATTTTTTGCCATTGTTGTTGGAAAATATAATAATTATGATGTCAGTCTTAA